TCTATAGACGTCCTTGGCAGCGAATGAGTTAAAGAAAAGGAAAAAAGAAAGACATATGGTCAAACTTACAAAGAATACCTTTATTAAATCGTGTTTTAAGTCTGCAACAGAAAAGATTTTAAGCGCATCAATGCCTGAAATTAAAAATAAATAAACCCTTGTTTAAACTGTAAACATGTTTGACCAACTAATTGCACCATTGCAAAATTAAATCAAATCAATAAATAATATTGAATAATTATAATAATTAATAAACTACAAAAACAACAAAAATAATAACTCATTTATATTCAGTTAAGCAACATTAACTCAGGAGCACAACATATAAAACACTTAGCATTCGGGTGACTTTCTTTTGTCTCCTTATCTTTGTTTCTCCGCTTTTCTTTTCATCCCCTTTAAAAACTTTTCCATGTTGGGGGTTGTTATGCTGAATAACGGAGGCTATAGACAGAACGCAGATGCTAACCGAGGCTAACCTGTTGTCTTGTAAATCGTAAAATGTTGCACTGAAGTAATAATGTTAGCGCCACTGCCCCCTACTGGAGTGGATGCGCAATTACACTTTATACTAGTATGGCCCAAAAAAAAAAGGCTGTTCCCCAGGCTCACATGCGCCCCCCCAGGTATCGCACCACTATTTGAGAAGCACTGGTATAAACGGACACACAATCCTCATTTTCCCCGGTTAACATGCGACCGTGCTATTTAAAATTAGACCAAAGGCTCACAGCTTTTAGTCCAAAAATAAACCTCCGTTTTTACTCTAAAAGCTTCAAACTAAACTAAAATCCACCCACATATTCACACGCTTTTGGGCTCAAACATGCTTTTAAAGCTGGAGGATCCTGATTGGCCGACTCAAACCTAAACTGGAGGATCCCGATTAACTGATATCAAATTGTTCTCCATAAATTAAAACAATATAATCTGTGACAGTTTGAAGAGAGAAAGTGAGGAAGGCAGAAATAAATAAATGGCTAAAAAATCTAATAAAATGAGCCAAAAAAGGCCCCGATTAAACAGTGAAATATTACAGTCTAAACAGCCTTTTGGTGGATTTTAAAAAGGAAAACTGTGGAGTAAAATGCTGGAAAACTGAAGTATTTAAAGGCAGACAAACCTAATGGTGGTCAAAGGTTTTATTTCAGAAACTAAGGGGCCATGTTTGTAGCATAGCCGCCATCTTGGACACACTATAGTGTGTCAGGGTCAGGGTTAGCGTTAGGGTTAGGGTCAGGGTTAAGGTTAGGACATCGTTTGTCTTCTGA